CCCGCGCCCCGCGCCGCTCAGCCTGCGCCCGCGCCCGCGGCGCCTCGAGCGCCGCGCCGGGCTCCCCGCCGCGGCGCGCCCCCCCTTGGCGCCCCTCCGACCCCCTCCGGCCCCGTCTCCGGCACCCTTTTACGCCCACCAACAGCTGGAGAGCGTGGGGCGGTTCGAGGAACGGCTGGCGCGCCTGCTCTTCTGGCAGTTGATGCTTGCGGTGGACTTCTGCCATAAGCGGGGCGTGGTCAATCGGGACCTGAACCCGGAAAACATCCTGCTGACGGTGAGTTGGTCTGGGGCTGTTCGGTTCACGATGGCGGCACGGGGCTCCGGTGCTGTTTGGTGTTGGGGGAAGGGGCAGGGGCCCTGGTGCTGTTGGAATCTCGGGTGGGAGGAGCCCTGGTCATGAGCAGATGAGGGGGCAGCGGGTGTGGTGCGGGTCCGCAAGGGGGGGGAAGGGAAGGGGAAGCTGGCGGAAGGCCCCATGGGGAAGGCTGCAGCGCTGTCGGAGGCGCCCTGAAGGGGGGGGGGGCTGGAGGGCAGGGGGAACACCGAGCTGGGCGGGCACGAGGAGTGCAGGGCGCGGCGGCGGCGCCGTCACGCCGCCGGGCTGGCAGCCGGGGCTGCGCGCACGAGGGGGTGGGGGAGGGCTGGCGCAAGCTGGTGGGGCGTGGGGCAGACGCAGCGCCCACCCCTGGGGTCCCGCAGTCGCGCCTAGGCGTGCTTGGTGCGCGTCTCGACCGCACGGCCCTTTCAGCGCAGCCGCCGCTCGTCCACAGGCGGCCGCCCGGCATGTCCGCTGCCAGCTCGCCCGCCCAAAGGGGACATCATCCACCCGTCCAACTTCCGGTCCCTCGATCTGTCCTCTGACCTCCAGATGATCCCCCAGCTGCCGCTGCCGGTGGTCAAGATCTGCGACTTTGGATCCAGCAAGCGCGACGGCTACGCGGCCGCGTTCGCCAAAGCCGGGACCCTCTGCTACAACGTGAGCGCTCCCTGCGCGCCGCGGCGCCCGCGCGCGCGACGCACGCCCCGCTGCTCACGGCCGCACGCATTGCGCCCGGCTGGATGGGTCCGCGCGCCGCCTGTGGTTTGCATCGTCCCAGCGCGCCTGCTCAAATCATCGCCCGTCCCCTGTGCCTCACCAACCTGCTCGCCTTCCTGTGGGCTTGTGGTGCGTTCGCTGCAACCCGCCCCCAAAACACTCTAACACACACACACACACACACACACACACCACGCGTCAAGCAGCGACGTGCTGCCGCAGCATACACACATAAAGTGCACCCATGCGGTCGCGCGCCATCGCGACACCCTCCGACAAGTTCCACATCACCCGGCCCAACCCCCCTGATTTTAAATTTTGAATCTCCCTCCGCAGGCCCCGGAGGTGCTTCTCAACGCTGACCGGGCCGCCGCCTACGACTCGCGCCCGGCTGACGTGTGGTCGTGCGGGGTCATCCTGTATGTGCTGCTGACCGGCAGCGTCCCCTTTGGCACCTTTGAAGACACCACCGGTGGGCGGCTAGTCGTGCGGCGCGGCGAGCGGGCGGGGTGCGGCGGCCTCGCGTGCCCCCCGCCTGCCCCTGCAACACCCCGCCCTCCTCAGGGGGACATCCCCCAGCTCCTCAGGGGGACATCCCCCAGCCCTCGCGCACTCCCTGCCTCGGCGGCTCGAGCCACCCGCGGCGCACTGCCAAAGGCGCGCATCCCATCCTCTCTGCACTGGCTTTGAGCCGCGGCCGCGCGTGCGCGCGGCGAAACGCCCGAACGTCCACCCCCAAAACCCCATCGGCGGCCACCTCTGGCAAACCCCCCCCCCCAAACAGGCGCGCCGCCGCCGGCAGACGTCTCGTTCCGCGTCCTGGCGCACATGGTGGGCGGCCACTACGCGCTGCCCCCGGATGTGCCCGCCTCTGATGGCTGCCGGCAGCTGCTGGCGCGCATGCTGCGGCCCAACCCCGCGGAGCGCATCACCGTAGACGAGATCCTGCAGGACCTGTGGTTCAACTCATACTCGCCGCCCCTGGTGGCCGCCGCGAACGAGACGATCTTGGCCCAGCCCGTGACGCCGCCAGGCCGCCAGGGCCCGGACGAGATCCTCGCGACCGTGCGCGAGGCGCGCGCGGCCGCGTCCGCGGCGCGGGCG